GATGCTCACATATTACACCTATCCTTGCATCCCTTCACTGACTTCCAGTGAAATTCAGAATCCACTTTAGGATTTTGTTATTAACACAAAAAGCTGTACGTGGACACGTTCCTGCCTTATCAATGCAGCCGGCTCTCCGATCGAACCCTTCTAACGGTCCCTCGCTCTGATCTTAAAACCAGAGGCGATCGTGCTTTTGAGGTTGGAGCGCCCCAACTGTGGAACAGCTTTCCTCAGTCAATGATCTCTGATTTTAAAATACACAGCAGGCAAAATTTGCTGTAATTTGTTTGGGCAAGAAAGATGAAGCTAAACCTGCAGTTCCTCTGATGGCCGCTCGAGGCAGGCTTCGACAGTGAGTCAGATTCCCACAGAGTCTCATGTTAACATGTCTGTCAAGCTTAGCTGATAACTCAGCACTCCACCCTTTCATCAACACAATGAAGTGTCTGAAACACCACCATGAAGCTAAAAACTGTGGCGTTTGAAACCAACAGGTGGCGTTACAGCCCATCGTTTGGGTTGTCTCTGATTTCGAGCTGGCAGTTTGACCCAAAATGTGCTTTTTGAAGTTTATCCAGGTTACCAGCATTTCTTTCTGTTCCTCTGCCTCGCAGACATCATGTTGGTGCACGCCTGTTATTGATCTCTTTTTAGTTCATGCCATGTGTAAAGTTGATTTGGTTGGTTGGCTTTAAACGCCTGTACAGACATTATGAGGACTCAATGATGGAAAAATAATGCAGAATAAAAAGCGCCACATTTGTACTTCACTTCCTGTAACTCTCAATATATTCACAGCATGATTTTAAAACTTTTCATTAAATATACTAAAGTTACTGTATAAAAATATGAGTTAATTTCAGATTTGACTGACCGACGGACAAATTAACTGGACAGCCTGGTTCCAAAGATGGCTGCTGACTTTCTTCTAGAAGGACTTAGCTTGGGTTGTCTCGCCAAGAAGCTACAGGCAAACCTGTCGTCTGTTCGTCTCCGCAGTCTCACTTTTTTGTGCTTGTCTTCACCAACTCCATCAAGCTCATTTGCATGTAGACATTGAATCATGATGTGGGCAGAATTCGATCAGATGTTTTTCTTCCTCACAGATACATTTGCATCCAGCTCCACTGCTGTAAGATAATAGTTCTTATTAGTACATTATTAGATTTTATATTCATGAAGCACTCGCAAAAAGAAATACAAGGTGTGTTACATAAAAATCCAGCCACTGAAAGCACAGACAGACCCAATAAAATCGATACAAACTATGTTTGTAATTTGAAGAAGTGATGTTCTGCCTCGTTCACCTGCACAGAAACTTTAGGATGGATTTAAACCAGCATCACCAACATAATGAAGCAGACAGTTAATGGAGTAGAGATCAGTGCGGCTTTATCAGTGCGGCTTTTTGAAGTGAAATAAAGTGAAAGTAAAGCAGACGCAACAACAGTGAGAAGAATATTACCTGAACTTTGAAAAGAGGTCAAATTAGTCTCACATCCAATCAGAAATACATGGAAATAAATAACAAAATCTTTCTGTCGCCCGTGTGCTCGACCAGTGGCTCAGCTGTGCCTTTAACTTTCTGTGTGTGTGTGTGTGTGTGTGTGTGTGTGTGTGTGTGTGTGTGTGTGTGTGTGTGTGTGTGTGTGTGTGTGTGTGTGAGAGTGCGTGGATGGTTGGCCCAATCCCCAGGCTAATTGGTACGATCCGTTTAACGAGTTAAACGAGGTGAATTTGGGGGGATCAGGTGGTCCAGAAATTGACACGCGCTCCCACACACAGATGGCTCACGCTGTCACCAAGCATAAACACATCCACGGCTGATGCACGAACACACTTATAAACCTTCTCCCTCTTTCACTGTATCCACCTCACACACTTCCTCATCATAATACATGCAGCTGTTTCACGGAGGGTTTTCCCTCTCACAGCAGCAGGGCTTTAGTCCAGTTTGACTGTCCTGCTGGAACCAAGCGGACACCTGTCACATTAGATTAAGTCAACATGACTCCACATTTATGGTCTCTGGCCTGAATCGTGTTTTATTTATGCAGGTTAGAAGTTTCGTGTGATACTTGTGTTTTGTTTTAGGAACTTTTTTAATTCAAAATAGGAAATTGAGCACCGAGTACAGGATTTCCAGATGTTAGTCTGTGTGTTACAGCTTCTGGTCCAAATCCTGACTGATAGAGAGCAACTCATACCTTGGATCTTCTTTGTTTACTATTCCTGATAATTTATTAAATCTTATCAATCAAAAAATCTATTATAGCCGAATGAATCAATATTAAATTACTCAGCTGCAAACAGCTGACAGAGACAGTTAGTGGGCAGCTGGTGAACCATAGAGTGGAGTATTCACGAGCTAAAGAGCCAGATATTTATTTTAGATGTTGGTAGAGACCAAGAGCAGATATATACTGTTGAGACAAGCGTAGCTGGAAAAGGACGGGGGTGTTACGCTAAACTTCTGGGTGTGCAGTAGGTGTAGGAGGTTGTTTCCTCACTTTTAACGGTGATATTACTGCCCCCAGGTGGCCAAAACTATAATTAAACATAATTAAGGTTGGGCATATTTTGACCTATAAACAGGCTTAAATGAATAAACTGATAAAACAGACTTCTGTCAGCAATCTCCTATCGACTGTTGGAAAGCAGCAAGGTCACTGGTTGACCTGTCAAGGTATGTTGCCATGTTAACCAATCAGCTGCATTGATCTATTGGTGTTTGAGTCAAGGGCACAGCCAATCAAATTCCAGCGACCTGGGCTGGTGAAACTGGGATTGTAACAGCAGAACACTGATCAGTACTATAAACAACAGCACACACACCGCCACCACCAGCTGGGATCAATGCACACACACACACACTGTAACCTAGGTAATTAAAATTTTCAGTTTAAAGTAAAATAATACTATTTAGTCAGAGCCCTTAAATAATATAATTGGAGAGTTCACAAACCTGCACAAATCAGACTGAAAACTTCCTCAAGGAAAAAAATGGACAAATAAATAAATATAAATGACCGAGGATTTATTAATTGGGAGGGAAGTCCTGACAACATGACTGCATGCGCTGCATCATGTCCTCACAACACAAGTAATGCATGCCTGCACACACATGTCAGAGTTCTGCTTGCTGGTGTCAGATATTGACCCACTGGCCCGGTTTCCTCTTACACAACCAGAAACTGGAAAGCTGCCGGATCCAGTTGAGTCGTTACGTAAACACAACCAGCTGAGGGACGTCCAGCCTGCGGGGTGTGTGCGCTGCTTGATTCATCAATAGCTGTGAATGAGACGTGTGAATGTTTGATAGATGGGCCGAGGCAGAAATGGACGGCGAGATAATTATTATGAGCTGGACTGGACCAGGATGACCTGAGGACACAGGGCCCATACCCAGGCTGACATCGGAATATTTTTAACAGGAAGTAGCAGGGCCTCAGCATCGTGGTTTGACATACAGGGATTCTCGTTTAGAGTTTAGGATGCAGGGTGAATTTGAAAACCTTCTGTGATTGTTTTTCACTTCGTTTTTGGGTTCATTCTCGATTCTTTGGTTAGGGTTGGGGTTTGGCGTTAGATCTGTAACTCAACATATGTTAAAAGACAAATTTGTTCCATCTGCGAGAACTTCTCCAACATGTCTTTGGTTGACTATGACGATAACCCTTTGCTATTGGAGAAAATTTGCTCAGATGGTCTCATAAACCATAAAAATACATTTAATACATTTTCCTTCATTTGTCTGAAATTGATTCACCCTTCTACCCAACAATGTTTTCCAGTTATTTCTGGGTAATCCCACGCTTGACAAGATATGTAATCTCTATGGAGAGTACTCCGGGGTCTCTTCCCAGTTGGATGCACCCCAAAAAACATAACGGCATCCAGGACCGTTATGATCTAAAGCACCTCATCGGGCTCTTTATCAACACAAAGGAGCAGCGAGTCCTCATCGTACATCTGAAGATAAACCCTTTATAACTTTTCCAGCTTCACACTTTGCACACTTTGATCTGGTAGGCTGTTCTGTTAGACAGACCCGTGCTGCTGGTTGTGGTGCTCATGGTGTCATTTATGTTATAAGCATAGCAAGGCCTGCCGAAGTGCCTCTGAGCATGAAACAAACCCACCTGTCTGCTGCTGTGAGGTCTGCTGGCTGAAATCAGACAGATGCAGGAAGCTGCTACCTGAGCCACCTGACCTGTCACCACACACACACACACACACACACACACACACACACACACACACACACACACACACACAGAGTTGTGGTTAAAGAGAAGCAATCTGGCTAAGAGTAGCACTCCGGCTTGGTGATCAGTTACTAAGAGCCTCAGGCATTATTCAGCACACACTGAGCAATCAACCTTCCATGGACACTGTGACGCCACACAGGCTGTGTGTGTGTGCGAGTGTGTAAGTGTGTGTGTGTGTGTGTTTAATGAGTTAACTAAAGAATAAAGGATGAGAGAATGGAAGCAACTGGGAACATCTGGGTGACAGGGAGGGTTAATGGCTCCTAACAACCTTGAAGATCTTCACACATTCATGGTCTCCAGAGGATAAATTGTAAAAATGGATTAAAACTTATTTATGTCGAAGTACCTGAAATATTAATGAGCTTCCCCTGAGACTCAGCTGGATTTGTGCCATGCTCTGTCTTTGTTAGCTTTAGAGGTCAGTGCAGACAGCAGCGAGGACGCAGATTTAGCCTCTGGGGAGAAACCCTGGTGTTTCGGTGCTTACTGGCAAAGTCAGCAAAGATCCATCAGTGCTAACTAATGAAGATCATTTTTGAAAAAAGAAAGCCTGAAAAGTTGAACTTTTCTCAACGCTCACACCGCACCCACAGTTCAGTTCAGCAAACCGTGACGTCAAAGAGAAGGAGAGGCGAGAGTCCTGACGCACGTTTGAATCTTGTCTTACAAACTGAATTTCTAAACTCAGCGTCTCTCCCTCGCTGTCTTTCTCTGTGTCTCCAGCTGTTGAACCTCTTCCTGGCTCTGCTCCTCAGCAGTTTCAGCTCTGACAACCTCTCGGCTCCAGACGACGACGGGGAGATGAACAACCTGCATATCGCTATTCACAGGATCACCCGGGGCCTGGCCTGGTGCCGCAGACAGGTACCCGTCTGTGCGTCACTTTGTAAACTACCACAGAGCTCGTTCTGTCTCACACTGTGTTTCCCTTCATGTTGTCTGTGGTTCAGGTGGTGGATTTTTTTAATGGGAACCTGAAGCGTCGTCGTCAGAAGCGAAAGGAGGCCAAAGCCATGATGAAGCTGAAACGCCTCAGTACCATCCACACGGAGGCCAACGGTGCTGTCATAGGTGACATACCTCAGAGATTATTTCTGTCGCACACTAACACAGATCGGATGTACTCGTCCTCTCGTGTTACCTTTGTTAGAATTCACAATGACCTCCTCATCTGGCTAATTTCCACCTTTCAGTAACCAGCCTTGGACTGCTGTCATGCAGCTGCGGCTGTTTCTCAGTTTAATGCATGTAAGGCGCTGTGACATCTGAGATTTAAGAGTAAAAATATCTGGTATTTATAAGCTGCCGATCCATAAAAGATATAAACACATTAATTTGCCATTTGATGGTTGTGTGCCAAGCATCTTCTTGGGTGAGAGCCACTCAAAGCCGACCAGCTTTGATTCCAGGAAGTTCCTGCCCTCAGCCAAGAAGCAGTCACACATAAACAGCAATCAGCCGTGTGAAGCAGTTAAACAACAAACATCTTTTCAAAAAGTCTTTGTACATAATTAACAAATGAGATTAAGCTGCTAAATCAATTTCTTTAAATGAGATTTTCATCAAAGGTCACCGTCAACTGTTATTGACAGGTGTGTCTCTTAAAATTAAACCAAAAACATGAAACTTTCAGGTCTGATGGCAAAAGTGAATGTTTTTAATGAGCTGAAGAGAAGTTTCCATGAAGTAGTTTAGTTCGCTCCCAAATAAATCAGTCTGTTAGAGGAGCAGCAGAAGTCTGATTGTGCAGAAGTCTCTGAAAAAATGGCCACAGACCTCAGGAAGGACTTTCCTGATGTGGATATGGTCTCAGTCACTACGCTGAAGTCTTATCTGATAAAATATGATGTGATTTTTAGTAAATTAAGCTTCCATGCATGTGGCATTCATGCAGTTCCATCTTTGAAATGCATTTAAGACTTAACTTGATTTATTTAAAGCAGCGGTCCCCAACCTTGTTTGTGCCATGGACCGGTTTATGTCCGACAATACTTTCACAGACCGGCCTTTAAGGTGTGCCGGATAAATCCAACAAAATAAAACCAGTACCGGTACCAAAAAAATGAAGATTTATTCATAACACACGGAAAAAGACCCAGGGAAACTGAGATAACGATAAAAACATTAAAAGCCCTGATAACCATGAATTTCACACCCGAGACTCAACTCTCGCGGTACTAAACAACCGGTACTGGTTTGTGGCCCGGGGGTTGGGGATGGCTCCGACAGTCTCGGTCATTGTATCCTTGGGCAAGTAACTTGGTGGAAGCAGACCCTCTAATATGTAGACATGAAGTTAATTTTATTGAACTTCTTAGAGAGATCTTCTAAGTCTTAGACTGCCCCGCTGTCTGACCATCTACGGCCTTGAGTTTGGATTTTCTAAACTGTTTAGAAATCAACTTTCATAAAAAATCAAATAAAAGAAATCCTGCAGAAAGGTAGGGATAAAAATATTTCCATTAGTTCATCCATCCATCTTTTTCTTCATCCCAGGGCGTCACGTGGAGAAGTACGTGGTGCCGGAGGATGACAGCTACATGACGAATCCCAACCTGACCATCAGCGTCCCCATCGCCCCCGGAGAGTCGGACGTAGAGTTCCCAGAGGAGGAAGAGGATGGGGAGGGAGAGGAGGAGCAGACTGAGGGTTCTGAGGAAGAAGAGGAGGAGGAGAGGGAGGAGGTAGGGAGGAGAACTGACTCTGTGCTGAGCCAACTGAGGTTTTCTGGTTCACACACACACACACACACACACACACACACACACACACACACACACACACACACACACACCTGTGTGTGACATAAGAAGCTCAGGTGTGAGGATGAGTCAGCTGCTGTTCCCCCCCGAGGTTACCTTCTAACAACTGGCTGTCTGTCGGCTGGTCTGTCTTCAGGTCAGTTCATTAACCCTTACAGGTGCACCGCCATCTACCACTCAACACTTACAGCTCATCTTAAAAAGCCAGACTTACATACTTAAGTAAATGCACAACAAAATATATTTAACTAATATTCTTTTCCATGCATTTCATTGTTTTTTTTATCCGAAGGACGCTGATTCAGCTGAATTTGACCCATCTGTGCTGTAACAAGCTTCAGCTGGTTTTTAACCGGTGCTCGTGGAAATGATGTTGTGTTACTGTAACTGTTTCACTGGTGCCAAGTCTGTGAATTTGCAGTTTTCTAATGTCCAGCAGGGGGCGACTTCTGTGCTTAGAAAATGAAGTCTTGCTGTGTAAAAGTTGGTGGTAAAAACACACAAATTCTGACTTCAGTGAACACTCATGTTTATGGTTTAAAGATTTATTCAACACATCACGATATTTATCTTGTATGTCATGGTCCCCGATTAGGGTCAGAAAGGAGCGTAAAGCAGGGAATGATTTACAGTGCGATGTACAAGTTGCGTACGGACAGCGTCCTCTTCTGAGCCATCCCAAGATATTTAACATACTAAAATGATTTTTTTTTTAAAACATCAAGAGGCAAACAGCAAGAACTGCTCACCTAGCGCACAAAACTGGGACTTCAGGAAACAGTGGTCATCTCTTATTTACAGTCTATGGCTCAGACCCCTCCTACTGGGAAAAATGTGTAACTGCAAATATGACTACAAGTAATATAATAACAACAGTCGCTTAAAACACCTGTGCTGATTAAAGTTAAGTAGACAAAGCCACACACACAAGTATGAGTTATCCTTTCTTTCTCCTTGTGAAGTGAAACATTTGTACTTTGTGCAAAACTTTACCTTTTCCCGTCTTTCAGGTAGAGCAAAAGCCTGAAAATGATTTTAAAAAGCCCTCAAACGCGATCCTGGTGTAACATCCTGAGTCACGTGAAACAATTATTAGAAGAAATATTCACAGTTACTTAAAAGTATTCCATTATAAGTTACACAGAAAAAAGCAGAAGCACTGACCAGGCAGCAGATTTATTGGATTATTAAAACTTAAAGTTCTAAAGTGTTTCCAGAGGAAATGTGAATTTACTTGATGAAACACTAATAAAAAGGTTGTAAGCTTTGATCAGTGCTGCTGCCTCCAGTCAATAACGTGCGTAATGATTGATCTGAGCATGTGCAGACCATTTTTACCACGGCTCATGTGCTGCTTTCATGTGTTGTTTTCATCTTCTAATTATCCCGTGCAGGCTCGATGTCACTTTTCAGCTCGACTAATCTGTGCAGCGCGTCTGCGGCGGCTCAGCTGCTGGCAGCACGCTCAGCCCAGCAGCTGCCATCTCATCGTTTCTGCTGAGTAAAGCCGAGCGTCCTCCCTGTACGTTAGCATGCAGTGAAGACTTTACTGCTATTAGTTATAGGCAGTTTAATAAAAACATGGCTGCAGTCCAAGAGCACTTTGGACGGCACATAAATCCCAGCTGACCTGGAACTCTCTGAGATTCCCAGTGAGGGCTGAAGCTCACGAGTCCCTATTGTTGAGTCACAACAGCTCAGAGCTTCAAATGCTCTAATAATCGAAATAAGTCAGGCAGGTGCGGCGCTGTTGGCTCATTAGGATTATTACTTTGAGCTCAGCTGTCCTTCAGCTTTACTCTGATGAACCGTATGCTCAGTACTGCATGTTACTCCTGTTTGTGTAAGTCATTACATTTGACTCTTCACCAGAGATGGGCAGTAATGCGTTACAACGCGTTACTGTAATCTGATTACTTTTTTCAAGTAACGAGTAAAGTAAGGGATTACTATTGCAAAACGGTAATTAGATTACCGTTACTTTCCCGTAGGAACGCTGCGTTACTGCGTTACTAAAACCGTGATTTTTTTTGCAAGAATGTCTCATGACAGTGACGTAAACGAGGGCGATGTTCGTGACAACAGCTGTGTGCAGATCAACAATGGATCACATACGGGAGAGAGTATGAGCGTGCAGCGTTTAAAGCGTGGAAGTACTGACCTTACTTTGAGTTTGATTCCATAAAAAGTGACAAAAACATGAGTGTCCGCTGTGCGTGGGAAGAAAACTTCTTTTTACAGCGAAAAAACCCCTAAACTTCCAACAAGCACCGAGTAGCTACGACGTAATGGGAAACTCACAGAGAAACTCGCGGATTCTTCCACTGACCGCGGCACACCTGCACCAGGGTAACCCTCCGCCTACCCCACTCCTGCTTTACAGGTGAAAATAGAGCAACAGGACCGCTGAGTCTTTGACTTTATTTATTTTCTGCTGTGTTTTACTTGCATCTATTTGAAAGACTGAGTGTAAACACACAAAAATATTTTATTTTATGTGCTGGAATGTGCAGAAAATAGGTTTAAATGTTAAACGAATTTCTTCCAGTCAGAGAATGTTGCATATAATTAAATGTTTGCTTGATGCATAAAGTTAAAAGATTAAAACTAATAAAACAAGTTTTAAAAAGAGACTTTTCCATTTGATTACATTTTGTATGATGGATTATGCAGAAAAAGTAGAATTGGGCTGAGAGATCTATCACTTTATCACCTCTTCAGGCTGTAAATCATGTTTTTAAAAAGTAACTAAGTAACTAAGTAATTAATTACTTTTGAAAATAAGTAATCAGTTAAGTAACGGGATTACTTTTTGGGGGAAGTAATCAGTAATTATTTACTGATTACTTTTTTCAAGTAACTTGACCAACACTGCTCTTCACTGTTAAAGGTCAGGTTTAGGTTTGACTACTTTCAAGACGTTTTCCTAAAAAGCTATTACATCACAGCGTGACTGACGTTTGCACTGGAGCATTAATATGATGCAGGAGCATCAAAAACACAGGAAACTGTGTAAGGAAGCACTTTCTTAAAATCAGTTTCATTTCCACGCACTGTTTATCTGCAACTTCTAGCAAACTTTAGCAAGATTTCTGCTCAATATCTGTAAGAATAACTTAAGATGTTCCACAATCTTTCTATTCGCTGCGTGCACGCACAACTACCTCGAGCTGGGATCGCTTTTTTAGGGTCCTTCCTCCAGGCTGGAAATGATGGTGATAGAAGGACATGGAGGGGGAGGGAGGGGGTGAGAAGGAGAACAGGTGCACAACATGATTAAAGAGGAGAGGTGATGATGAACTGAGTCAGCACAGGTGTGTACACACACGCATAGACGCACACAAGCAAACACACATGACACAAATCTGTCATTTCATGTTAGATACAAAGAGAAGAGAGAGGAAACGACGAAACATCTCCTCTTCCCTCTTCTTCCTCTCCTCCTTCCTCGGTACACATACACACACACACTAAGAAATTTTAGTTTTATGAGTTTTGTTCCTAAAGGAGATATTACACTGTTTGAAAAATGTGACACAGAGTCGTACAAAGAACTTACAAACACACACAGACACACACGGTGTCTGCGGCTCAGTCGGACTTTTTGTCCTATGAATAGATGAAGTGAGGCAGGACACACACACACACACAGAGGCACGCAGAGTCTGAATAACTTGCATCACTACCACAGATGCACACACACGCACACTAATATACACCCTTTTAGCACAAACACATCACACACGCAGCACAGCAGAGTGAGAAAAATGCTGGACCATAATGCACTGCCGGAGGCCTCCAATTCTGTCTGAGGGACCCTCTTACTTTGAGTGTGTGTGTGTGTGTGTGTGTGTGTGTGTGTGTGTGTGTTTCGTCTCAGTCCATCCATTTCAAAGATAATTTTCATAGAAAGAAAAAGGAAGACTGTGTGTTCGTACCGTCTAGTAGTTCGAGATCTCCACATTAACCATTTACTTTCACATCAAGCGCATGTAATCACAGGCTTTTTAAAAAAGGTTGCTTTATTAAAAATCCATAGCTCAGTTCTCTTCACAACATCGGTCTTTTCAAGCTGCCTTATATTGAAAAATAAAGGCCGTGCAGTATTAGAGAGAGAACCTCAACAATCACACGAACTTTGAGCAGCACTTGGCAACAGGGGGAAGGAAAAAAACCCTTTTGACAGGAAGAAATCTCCAATAGAACCGGCCTCAGGGAGGGGCGGCCATTGGTAGCCATGGCTGTAGCTCAGGGTGTTAACATAACACAAGCATGAAAAACTGGTGAGAGTCACTGACTTGTTTACAAGCTCTGAACACGCCTACAAACAGCCGAGTACCAGATCTCCTCTGCTCTGCTCTAGCTTTACAGGATCTCTGTATCCACTGCGTGGTGCAGTAGACATTTAGCCGCGAGGTGAAACATGCAAATACAGCGAGAGCTGCGGCACATGTACACACAGATACACACTGTGACCTAATGTGAAAGGGCAGCATAAATAGAACAAAGCTCAGGAACATATTTTCCCCCTAAATCAGCTGCTGTTGAGCCAGAGAGGGGGATGGGGGTGGTGGTGTAAATACATGTATATGTTTGTGAGGACGGCTCCGGGTGAGGGTCCGATCACCATCTGCTGGAGGTTCAGAGGAGCCGTCCAAGCGTCCGAATCTGGTTTTAGAGCAGAATAATTTGGAGGTTAGCGTCGTCCTCACAGAGATGGATACGCTAACGCTGTTTGAGACGGGAGGCTGGATTGGAAGGCGGGACAACAGAAAGAGAGGGACTCAGAGCATCGCTGCTTTCACAACTCCTTAGCATCAAGCTTTGTTTCCTGTGTGTGTGTGTGTGCGTGTGTGTGTGATGCAAGAGGGCTGTTTTCTCTCTCTGCCACTGCTGTAACATCTCATTCCCTTTATTCCTTT